GTACCCCTTTAGCAGAAACGTGATTTAGTCCGCTGTTTGACGTGAAAAGCTAGAAAGTCTGTTTGGCAGATAGTGCTGATGGAGAACTTCGAAGAATCCAGGATCTGTTTTGCGAGAACGGGTATCATGACAGATTTATTGTAAGGAATTTTGCCGAACGACTGACAAGACTCATCATACCGACGGTGGAAAAGAAAATGCTGTTCCTCAAAGTCTCCTTTCAAGGGGACGCGGCGGGTGAACTCCTGAGAAGGTGCCTTGACCAAGCTGTTTCACGAACCTTCCCAGCAGCATGAATTCAAATATTGTTTTCGACCAACCCCGTCTTACACGGCGAACGTAAGCATAGACTACCAGCTCAGACCAACTACATGTCCATCTATCCCTTTACTTGCTCCTACAGAACAGGCTACACTGGCCGTACGAGTCGGCGCCTATCCGCAAGAATACGACAACGCCTGCTGGCATGGCTGAGGAAAGGTGAAGTTAAGAGCAACCACATCTCTATCCCCGCACACATGGTTCATTCTGGGCATCGTGCGAATCTCAATGAAGCCTTGCGTGTGATTTAAAAGGTTCCACCTAACTAACCTAAGCGACTGAGTAGGCGCTTACTAGCAACAGCGGAAATGACTGCCATCAGGTTACAGAGGCCGGTCCTGTGCGCGCAGAAGAACCTCCCCGCACCTCCCGCGTCTACCTTGGGCAAGGATCGATTAACTGTATGCATGTTTCCGCGTCCCTGTCCCCTCCCCCCCTCTTCCTCTTGTGACACGGCTCTGCTTAACCCCCAATGTCACTTACTGGCCTCCCTTCATTCCCTCGCCTCTAATCACATACCCTGCTTGTATGAGAAAACTAATCTTAATCGATTCCTCTTATCGCTCACACGTTTCAGTTTCAGCCTCGTTCCCAGAAAAAGGTACAGGCCCGATGAGAATTTATCGAAAGCACGCGTATGCTCGCCAAATGCTCATCGGGATTGCTCAGTAGGAATTTTCGCAATTTAAACCTTTAATTTCAAAATTAATTATATTCTTGGACAACTAGTACTGTCAATTGCTTGAAACATCGACATAAGAACACTTAGAGGCATCGATGCATCATTCATATTTACAAATGGCGTATTCAGCGACTCGTACTTTAATCGTCATAACGCTATTTCTGGCGCGGTTCAGACTCCGAGATAAATTTGGTTGCCTAATCCTACAGTCTCTTAGTATCAGTGAATTAGGCTGACAGTAAATCTCGAGCCGAAATAAAGTTTAGACCAAGGGGTTCTTTAAGGATTTGTTCAAGCCTGTTACCTGTGAGGGGCAGAAAGACCTCTTGAGGGGTCCTTTTATTGACGTAAAATGACCTTATGTCAGGATTTTCACAAATCCCGACCACGGTTTATTCACGTTTGGTTAAAAAGCTCCCGTCAGGTACCTGAAAACAACATGGGATATGCTTACATGGATGCTTACGCACAATAGGCTATTGAAGAAATAATAACTGGATTCTTTTTTCACCACACAAAAATTAGTGACAGTACTTTACATCTAAACCAGACTGGTGCATGGCATCATTTATTCCTTCGTTTACCTTCTCTAACTGAGATGTTTATTTCGAAATGTAGCAGGCAAGACCTTTAGAAATCGCTGTCTGCACACAAAAATGTAGGCGATTGTATCACGGTATCCGAAAGATCGTAAGTTTAATTCGGTTGCCACCAGATTGGTTAAACCTGGTGGCCATGCGTCTACTTCATGCTTGATTATGGATTGCTTACTAGGCTAAATCTCTGGCGCTAAAATAAGCAGCTTCGCGAATGCAATGGGAGTCGTACACGTGTGTGGCACACACGAGACGCCAAGGTCAATTCATGTCAGTCAGCTGGCGCTCTCGTCTAGGTCAGACCTAAGTCCGTAATGCCACTGGGAAGCACTGTGATAGCGAACTAGAAAAATATAGCGATTCTACCTTCGTCACCTACTAATCTCTGACGCTTTCGTCAGGACATGCTCATTTGGAAAGCCGGTCCTCTACCGTGGTTGTGGAGACCCAAATTCTTTCCACCCGGGGTGCCGTTCAAGTTTGAAACTTATTCTACTTCACATTTTTGCTGTTTACCATGATGAAGCTATTACTTGTGGCGTAACGATCCCGTTGACTTTGGTGGAATCACAACTCCTTTCTCAAGCTATGTAGGGTCCAGATATTCAACAAATGCCAAATTTGATATTTTAATGAAAATTGGTAGGATAAATATGGAATCATTTGAACGAAATTTGAAGTTTCTTAGAGCTAAAAACAGTAGTCCATAATATCGGTTGTTCAAAATAATCAACTCTTTTCTCGATGAATTCTGCATACGTTTGAAAACCTGTGCCTACATGCTCACGGCCAAGGCGACACAAATAATTATTAACTTGAGAAAACGCTATGACGTCTACGCGAAGTGTTCTTTGAGCTTTAAAGCAGGGTCCTTGGTTTTCCTGCCAGATAGACAAAAGCTCGCCTTCGTGTGCGCTTCAACATCTGTTGACAATAAGGCTGGCGGATTTGTCACATTAATGGTTTTTAAGTCCTTTTCAGCGGCTCCCATCAAAATGCCAAAATAATGCAGCAGGAGACTTAAGAATGACAAAGCAGATTTCCCGCAGCCGACTGGGAAATTACCTGTATCAAATAGTTGGAATTGTTTTATTCCAACTTTGTCTGCGTAATATGTAGCTTCTTTAATTAATTTATGAAACGAGTTGTGGACTGTGTAAAGAGTCCCTGGTAGATTCAACCTTCGTTTGGCTTTTGAACTACAAAACTAGACTTCCTCTTTAAACTACGGTGCAAAGGCGAACAGAGTGCTCAAAAATATCAAGCAATTGCTAGGTACTGGTTAGGTGTTGGAGAGTAGTTTATGCCGATGACACAAACACAGGCTTATTTTAGAGATGTGCGTACTTCAGTCGTCGTCAACGCTGATGGTTGATTTTTCCTAATGCATCTGCCCAGCTGAGGATCGTTTAATTGATGTCAGGTCATGGACAAGTATAAATGTGCATGATGCTGTTCAGCGCTTAAGACGATCAGAATCCGAGTTGGAAAATCAACAAACAGACCTACTATTATACAACAAGTGAACACAAATCCACACGGTGCACAGTGTGCTCTAACTCATATTTGCAGTGACTCGGGTCTCTCATAAAGAAAATCCTTTTTTATGTATGTCTCCTAGGTTACGCTATGTGTCATTAACGTTTCGCAGTTTCGCTCTCTTTCGCAAAGGAAATAGACATATGTATGCTGTTTGAAGTGACATAACAGAACGATTTCTTCTTCTGTTATTCTTTATCTTGTATCTTCAAGATTATAATTATCACTGTCCTACGTATTAAATCTTTAGCACCATGTTATCTAAATTAATGTATGAACTCGTCTGCCCCAAAAGATGCTCCGCGTTCCAGTCAAAAGTACATGTAAAAGGATGTAAACGTGGTCCCGAATGGATGCAACCATTGAGTTTTGAGTCAATCAAAAGCGCTATGATTATTGAACTGTTCGCAGTCCGATATGACAAGAAGGAAAAGCCCCTCGCATTCTAATCATTGGCTAATTTTCTTTAAACTTTGTCCTTGCAAGGCAAAATGTAAAAGTATATTTTAAAATTCAAAACACGTCCATATTTTAAAACATCTTGACACTGGAACCTAGAATGTGGTTGTCCTTGTTTTATCTGCGTGAACAAGCCTACTTGTTTGTCTACTCAGACATGGGAATCATTTTGCCTACATTTGAAAACTATTCTGATTCCCTTTGCGTTAATGTCGTCCCTCATTGTCTATTAATTGCACCAAAAGTAAATGATTTTAGTCCTTTTATGAAATATTCAAAAGATTCGCGTTGCATTTTAAGTACAAATAAGGTTAGAAAAAAGTGGGAGGATGGCTGAAACAAGAAATTCATTCGTCTAATGTTCCCAATTCCCTCACAATCTAACCATCCGAGATGTAACAAACAATGGTTGGAACACAGACGACAAAGGACTTTAATGTCCAGTGACTTCGCAAAAAAATTGGCTTAAATTAGCAACTCCTGAGCAAACATCTGACACACTTGGAGGAGTAAAAGAGCCCTTTGTTTTAGACTACGTAAATCGAGGTTCGTGATTGTTAAGCTGCCGAAGACGAACACGATGCATTTTACCTCAAAACAACTTAACAACCCCCGCACATTCAAGCCTCCGCACTGTAAAATTCGGCGACAAATAGCCAGCAAACGCCAGATTTTTTATCAATGTGGCAACCCAAGTGAAAACGACACAGGAACAATTGTTTTTTTAATTGCACATGGAGTAAATTGGCAAACACAGAGTACGGAAAACAGGATAAGCCTCTGCCTACCTCCTTAATTCAATTTTTCCGGCCAGATAATTATCACATTGGTAAGTAAAGCTCCAATTAATGCAAAGAAAAACTCGAAAGCAAAATATTCGGACGTTTTGTGTTTTGACAGGATGCCAAACTCACTTGCATGCATTACAATAGGAAATATGAACTCCTGGGAGATTATGATTTTATCATTTTCGGGTTTATTGCACAGTGGAGGTTTACAGATTTAAATATGTAAGCCAAAAGTTATAGGTAAGACGTCTTATGTTTCTTGGAGCAAATGACAGATGGAATTCTCAAAACTAGAATACAATACCATGCCAAATTAGCTATTGTTAAAAGCTCAGAACGCTCCATCAAAAACCTCCGGAATGCGCCCGTAATCTTATATTTCCTTTCAACTTTAGGCTTCAGCGGCAGGTTTAAGCCATTTGGTATCTTCCTTAAATTCTAACATTTATAGCGAGTAAGACAGAGGGTTGGTAGTGGTTTGCGTGTAACAGTGATTGTTTCAGTTCATGTACAAATCAGAGATCTGTAATTTTGAGAAATCGCAAAGACTTTCCTTGAAGTCATTGTATTAAATGAACAAGGTCGGTAAAAACCCCAGCATCGTTGTTTTCAGATTTAATTTTTAATGTTGGGCGAATCCTTCAGTTGGTTTTTGCTCTCATTGTCAACGGACGCTTCATCTTCCGAAGGCTACAATAGAAGACGAAACGGTTTCGCAAATTTTGCATTTGAACTAAGGACGCTATCGTAAACATCGTAAAAACATGCGATGTTGGACAAAGCAAAGCCCAGAGACTTCCGTGAAGGGAAATTGACAAGCATATTTCTAAACAAGAGAAAACAACTGTTTATGAGGCATCACAAATCCCAAGCTCTGCAAAATGAATGCCGAGTGACATCTATTAAGCAAGACAATATCCTACAGATAAAACTTGACATATAGTAGAATTATGCTCTTTTAGGTGAAGATAAGATCCTCTATGGTAGAAATCACACTGCGGAAGGATCTTCGTCATGAGGTACGCGGCAAATGTTTGGCGACTTGTAGTTTGAGGGCTACCTAAAGATAGGCCGGTTTCCTATTTAAGGTTACAATTTTTCAAATTTTATCTATAGTAATAGTAATAATTGTTGCGAAATAGGTCGGTTGGTGCATTTTTTGTCGAACGCAGGTGTTGTTATTCAAGTGCAATCGCCAGATAGACACTTATGGTTTCTAAATCTTTGGTTGAAATAAATCTTATGGCCTAATGAATCTTATGGGACGGATTGCATCACAACGTAGAATAAATCTAATCGTGTCTTCCAAATTTGTGCTGTCTCCCAAAAACGCAACTTACAAAGTTATTGTATGTTAAAAAAGTAAAAACCATCTCTTTGATTAAAGAACACGGCAACGGTATAGAAAAGGACACAACTTAACTGTCAGTTGACTGTGGACCGTGCTATACGTGATCTATGGTAAAGGGAGTGTTATGCATGGACCAGCACGCTAGGCAGTAAGCTGACAAAATGAAATACAACACAGAAGTTGCCTGGATTTATGCCGAACGTCTTCTCCCATGTTTTTGTACGACAAAGGAAATGAGGGTAGTAATTAAACAATAAACAAAAAGTAAATTTCACAAAATACTGGATTTTCTGTTAAGGTATGAGGTCGTGGGAATTAATCGTTGTTGGCAGTGTTATCTCTGCAACAGCCTGCAAATGTATGCCGAATGTATGCCCCATGTGACACGATCGACAGTCTGCTGACAGTTATGTGGGCTCCCTCTCTCTACTGTTGTCAAGACCACTTGATAGATGCTTCTATAATGGGTCTGGAGTAACAAAACCTGGTGATTTTGACAGCAGAAATCGCGAAGTTATTTCGGATTATTAAAAATAATCGCTGTAATATTTTTTCTGAGTTCTTGTCAGGACATCGTTACCTAGTGTGTAAGCATCATCAACATACTTAATAAAAATACATAAATGTATTTCGGATTCGATATAAAAATCATATTCGGAGATATCATGACAGTCTAAAGACACTGTTATATAAGATGCTGGATATAACAATCTAGGCGAAAATGAATGCTGCCTGTGTAAATTGATAGATACAATAAACTTAAATTGAATTGGACACCTTAATTACCACCATCTAAGACCAACCAAACAAACACGCTGCTTTATTTTACATCGTTTTAAATCTCATCCAATAAACATTCCACCAACTTAAGGAAGCTGTTTCGACGTGTGCGGATGTTCGGTTAACCGTTAAGATATGTGTAATGCACCGATATCCATAAATAAATACTGCCTGATAATCCGTTTTTGTACTAAATGCCAAGAAACTGACAAATAACTTTGGCCAGCTCACCCGTTGTCCTGCTCGCTGTCTTCGTAAATCTTCTTTTAAGAAGGCTAAAGAAATGAAATAGCAACATTTTTTTAACAAATACATTGCGACTGATTTTCTAGACAAGTAGTGCGTGGTAATATAATTCGACTGGACGAAAAAATATATGAACCATTAATTAACACTTAAAAAGAGTCTTTCGACTAAATACAAATTGATAGCAGAGTTTTCGTCACCGATCAGTACATAGGTTGATTCAGAGGTATGGCGTTCTCCCGGTAAGCAGAATTTCAGGCCAGGCGGAAACTCTTAGCAAAAAGTCCCTATATGCGCAGTGTTTGCTTTTCCAATCGACTTCATTTGACGTACGTTTAATTATCTTGGGCGAAAAATACTAGAAACCTTTATCTTTTAATTGTTTTTGTAACAAAAGGCATCATTCCGCTCGGAGAATATTAGATGGTGTGTATTATTATAAAGACAAACTATGTAATTGTTCGTGCTGTAATCAGTAAGTTAAATGTTGAGTATTTTTACTGACAAAAATTGTATGTCCGTTTGTGGTGCGGAGAGTAGCCCTGTTGCTAGTCATGGAATTCAAAAGTACATTCAATCCTGCTACATAATCTGGATCCGTTTTTATAACTGCGAATGGAGCGTGACAAAAAAAACATGTGTCATAACCTGAAAACGTCTCATAATTATGGATTTATTTTCGGTTTAATATTATTACCCATAAAAAATCTTGCAAGAGAGACTAGTCCTCTGAATTAGTAGGAAAAATCAAACGTTTATGGCGCCCTCAGAATAAACACAGTTGCAAACAAAAATATATCTAAATTTAATTTAAAAGACAAGGTAGAATATTGTAAAATTTAGCTTTTTGTAAGTGACGAAAAATATCAATGATGCAACTTAAAGTAATCTAATCAAATGTGCGTTTTAAACATCTATTCACTTTATCACGATATTTGGTATATAAAACATGTTTCAGGCAAAATTGTTTCTAATATCACCAAAAGAACAATTATAAAATAGAACAGATAGTTATGTGACACCATATGTCCTTGCAAAAATGTTCTTGTAACCTGCCATTGACATTGCGAGGATTTAGTTCGTTTTGGTCAGCAGAAAAGTTGAAAAAGGTTAACGAAATGCCATGGTTTGCTAGAAGAGTAGACATACATAGAATTCAACTAAATGACCCTGCAGAGTAACTTTATTGTAAGCTAGCGTCTGCATTTCTTTGACATTTAAAACCAAAGGTAGAGTAATTTCAAAAGGGATTAGTCACTGAGATCGTGAGGCAGTGCACTTTACCTGTGGGTACCACGAAAATGATCAGTGATGCCAGCATTATCAAATTCCCAGACTGACCCCCGTAGTTATTGATAAGAGCTTGCGCACCTAGTATAATGATGATACCAAACAGCTAAAATGAAAATCAAACAGGTTAACTGTCATTTTAATTAATACTGCTTCGTGGCTGTGAACTCATGGTCTTTGCCGACGGGCATAGTAGACTTGCAAATGCTAACAAATTTCTACACTTATTGAACACGAAATCAATACTCACTGATGAAAAACTGATCTGTGCTAACTAAGATCTTCTCGTTACTGTGGGATCATTTGGAAAATGCTCCACAATGAACGATTGTTAAAAATAATCTGAAATGCACTTCCCGACTGCATTACTACGAAATGAGGATGGTCTAGACTTCGTTTCTTGAGTCCGCAGTACAAATATTATGGGACGCATTTTGGTGGCCATATTGTCCCTAGTCTTGTTTGATAGACATGTTTGCTATGAGCCTTCTCGGAGTCATATTCATAACAAAAAACTTGCAGTCCTAAGAAACAATTTACAGATTTGCTGCGTGATCCCATATGCTTTAAAACTATTCAAGAAGCTTGAGTACTACCAATTATTGTAGGTATAAATGTTTGGATACGCCATCCAAGTACATTAACCGCCTCGACTATTTTAACGTCAGTACAATGATAAAATATAAAATCTGATAAAAGTTTCTCGCTTTTTTCACTTGTCGGCAATATCCCATTCTTGGACGGAGAATAGCAGAGGCTTCGAAGCAAAGTTCTCTAACATTGAGAACTGTCATCAAGTGCTTTACCAGTACGCGTGAGCCTCGCCTTCCGCTGACTGCTAGAAAAAATGCCTAAAACCCCATGGTAATGGTGTCCATTGATCTGTGCTAAATTCAAGGCCGAATGCGAATGATTTCGTTTAGACCTGAAGTTCCAGTTTCGGTTTTCCCCTTTAGACCCCTTAGTAACGAGCACTTATTAGGTGGGGACTGTTAGAGAAAATGAAAAGGTAGCCTCAAATGAGCAATTTCGGTCATATATCCTCCCATAGCTATGTAATTTTACTCGACTTAACAGTAATATTTTTTTCTGATTTGGCACTCTAGATCCTATAATATTACTTTCGACAGCACTGGACCGGAGTTAAATGACATAACGGAATAGTCATCATCTGTCCGGCAGTTGATACCGATCGTTGACGCGCCGTCCAGTGTAGCTTTAGACATATATTAAGGGATAAAACTACCAGTTTTGAGGACTGACCATCATATACGATTTGTCAGCCCCGCAGTAAGAGGCTTATCCAGCAATAAGAGCCTAATTTGATTACCGTACATTCATTATGCCTTGCATAGCACCTGAGTTTGAACATACGCCGTGTGGAAAATGTATGGTTAAGATTTTCACATGGTACGCCGGGAAACATTCCAAAAATCGAAATAGTTTAAAGTGGAACGCGGTGAATCCCAAACAACTAAAGAGACGTTGATGCGATGTGCCTTAATGCGGCATGATAAAGTACGCTAAACCATTTCAAAAGTTTATGAGACAGGCAACTATATGCAGATATGGGTGTGGTTTTCAGGCACTGCTCCTACTCTTTTCCCTCAGATCATTCCTTTCTATTCATAAAAAGATTACACTCCTACCTGTGCTGATGTGTTCAGTATACCGGAGGAAAGACCCTCACCAACGGGGTAGGTGACTTCTGCAGCATATTGGAATCCAAGTGGAAGGTACCCTGACTGAAAAAATCTAAATATGGAAAATAGTGGTTTTAAAAAGAGACTTGTTCGGATATAAAATGCCTAAGTGGAATGTTGGCCGGCTTGTTCCCTAACCAATAAATGAAATGTCACCAATAAGACAGGAGTGTTTTTATAAAAGCAAACTAGGAATTCCTCCTCTGATACACTCGCTTTGTTCATTTGGTCTGCGGCTGTCAAATTTAATCTGACATCCTCCCAAACCATCTGGCAACTAAATGAATCCAGCTTCTTGAACGCATAATAAACGGAAAAAACCGTAAGGAGACACGTACGACCGATTTTCCCAGGTTATGAATTACGCACCACTAAGTGGCCAACAGCGAGTAGTCTGGGCTACCACTTCAAAGCACAATAAAAATAATGCATTTGGCCCTGCATCTGTTTCCCATTGAGAAAAGCCATTTTAATTTGACTAGAAAAATCCTGAACTATGATCTCATAAAAAACATTTAACTTATTGGCAATAATGAGGAACATGAGGCGAAGTCCCAAGTGCTTTTTCGTCCAGGATGGCAATCTTTGGTACTGCGATCGTCCGATTTCACTTACAACTTAACTAGCATTATTCCGTCCGTATTAGAAGAACGTTTTCGTTGTTAGTTGCACTAATATCTACTTTTTCATAAAAGGTAAATGAAAGGTTCGTTTACATTGGGCGCTTTTCAACACAATTTCATACAAATATAATAAATTAAAGTCCTTAATAATTTAGAGGGCAGATTTTTCGTCAACTACCTGTTTTTAAATACATCACCGCCTTTATACCTCTGTCAGCCTTGAAAAATACTGGGATTCATGCAGTGAAAAATATGTAACCATGCTAGGAGCATGGAGCATCTAAATGTGGGGGATGTTTAAATATATCAGTAGCGATTAACATGTTTTACAGAAACGTTCATGACCATACTTTGCGCGAGTAAAGCAGGTGTTAGATGGGACATATATCTGATAGCCTCCTTATCAAATAAACGTTATTCTTCCAGATAGTGGCTTTCATAGAGATAGAATTTCACATACAATGGTCAGATGGTGGAGTGTCCTGTCAGGTCCCTCCAAATACACACCTCTTTTTATAACAAGATTGGAAATCGCTACAAACGGAAGACGGGCTATGTTCTCACCCCAGTTACTGAAAGTGAAGCATGCCATTTCAAGGCCACTATAACACAGCGCGTGAATAAAATTAGGCTCTTTTTCCATGCCTGATAGTAAAACGATCTCGATGAAATAAATTTATGTATATTTCAGGGGAATAGCGTAGATTTCTCACGACGTAGCCTATATTCTGGAATGTACCTTTGTGATAGCGGATCATGTAAGAATTTTAATTATTTGTAACGCCGGTATCAGTTCTAAAAACTTCCGCCACCAAAAATAGTTTATGATAATTGATCTTTGTTTTAACAGTTATTATTGGCAAGACCAAGGTAAACTAGAGCGACCATTTCAGATATTTTCGCCTTTGTGAGAGAACGCCTAACTCACCCTGCAAATAACCTCAGCGGAGTCTGGACAATGTTTGTTCACACGCTTTAGCCGGGAACTGGGGTACTGTAAGCCACGCTCGAGAAAACTCAAACTAAACGAGAGGGCGCCACCCTGGCTATCTTATACATGAATCGAATACAGACCTTCCTTGTAGTCAGGCTTTTCGTTGCATAATCCACAAGACCACATGTTCTTATGCACAGCGAAAAAAGAAAATCAATTGCTCAAAAGAAGAGTGTTGACTCAAATGTTGAAATAATCCAAATTCAAAACCTGGGTCAACGCGGCTTGTGGTTGTTGTGTGACCGGCTGGAGGATGTAAAAAAGTTTACAATTATAATTCTTGCCTCCATTCATGTCATCGCTAAAACACCTAAACTTTTGACTCCTATTTTCTACGCTACTGTTTGAGCGGTTCAAAAACAGAGCTCCAAAGCCGATACGAAGTGGTAAAATACAGACACACAATCGTTGATCATAACTCCCATGCGAGATTAGGTTTGTTTGTCAAGCAGCAGTTTCCATCTGGGGAAGAATGGGCCGGACTGATCATTGTCTAAGAGCAGTTTGGATTAGGAGCAGTAAACATCCTTTTTTACAACTGTCACTCCTGTCTACAATCTATAATCTTCCTTTCGATAAAACTTTGTCGTAGTAACTGGAAAAAGTATAAGTAGTTATTGGATTTGCGGTAGTCGTATTCTGTAATGGATTATAAATATTGATTTCGAGCCTTAAAGTAAACGGAAGTAAGTAATTGTATGTGATCATTCCGGCAAATATTTATATATATAATAATCGAACTTACCCTAGAATAAACATTGCAAAAAATATGGCAACGATGGATTTTGTGTAAGTAAGTCCAATGTAGCCAGCAAAGGAAACCACGCTCATAACGTAGAATGTTATTACAGTCAACCTGTAAGCCAAAAACTTTTCAGTTGATACCTTTCATATCTTAATTACTTGAAGACTGCGATAAAAGACGGTTTTTATGCTTCAAGACATTCATCCGTGGATCGCTCCAACAAATGACTAAAATAGACCGCTGGCGTTTAAATAGTGCAGTAAGAACAGATCCACCCAGCTCGACATGCCAAAAAACATTGTTTGAGAAGCTCATAGAAACATTTGCAGCAAACAGCAGCCATTCATCAATAGGGTATATAGATAAAAATTGGCGTTGAACGTTTAATGTGAACAGGTGGCAGCAGATCCCCACTAATAGCACCGCCGAGAAGGTGATGAATTCCAATTGCAAAGTCGGGCTGCAATGCGTAACCTGGCAGGTTCGAAGTGAGGATCAAAACAACTCTTTGAAGTCGCGCCTATAAGGTTCTTCGACAGTTTGGGCTAATCCAATTTTTATCAAAGCAGATGAAATAAGTTAATGAAACGTAATCTTGCGAGGAGCCATAAGAATTGTAAGGTATGATGCTTTTCCCTTCATACCTATTCCTCAACCAAGTTAAACAGCGAGTTCAGGTCTATTCAAGAAGGAGCTACTCTGAAATATCGTTTTATTGTAAAAAGTTGCAATGAACCAAAAAATTATAAAGGAATAAATTGTTCGTGAAATCATCGAATTTGGGGACTTTTAACTAAAATGAAAAGGTTTCTTACACATTTATAAACTATGGTAGTTGTTATGCGAATGACTCTGAACAAGCATACAACGACAAGTGATAAGCAACAGGAGGAGGAGGATACGATACCAACAGGATGCAGTATGGGAGAGTATTCAACTATGAGGGGGAGCTAGCAACTAGGATGCTGAGACTGCCGGCCATTTAAAGCAAGCTAAAAAGATCCAACAGGACAACTGGGGAACAGTACAGAATGAAGGAGATGTACAGAAGCGTAGGAATAAAATTCGATGCGGGAAAAGTGGAAATTGACCGTTACGGACATTTCCTCTACCAAGGCCATGCAAACTTTGGCACATAACCAAACTGTTTGTGAAGCTCTGGTTTCCTTTTTATTATAATAACCACAAAGTGCATTTAAATGCGGGTTGTGTTTTTGTGATTTAGGGCCTCACATTGGGTCAACAGTGCAGCTGGTGTCCAACCAATTTCATGCGGTTTAAGTTCCTAGCATATTGTTTTCTTTTCGCGGGGATTACTCAACAAAGATAGACTGACGAGGACAACGTTGGACATAAACATCGGCTACCTACTGGATTTTTGCATTTCTACATCCTTTTCCTTAGATTTCGGAGCCTTAGTTCTGCGGATCCAAGACGCGTTTTCATTCCTTTGTGATTAAGCATTGCGGGCAGTTGCGCAAAAACGATCACGTATTATTCGGTAATTTAAAATAGCTTCTACATATTTGATGACTATTTCACATCAGGTGATCAATATAACCGCGGCAACAGCTGAAAAGTGGATGATCTGTCCCCGGATATACTGATTTTGGGGAAACTGGCGCGACACGTACATTACTCTCCGTCCACTCACATTGTGTTCCCATCTCTAAGGTAGGAGAGGGTGAATTATACTAGTTGTGGACGCTTTGCCTGACAAGGCACAAAGGCGAAGTCTGCGCGTGTCAAACATTTGATTACTCAAATTTAACAATTCCAATTGCAGTAAATTCAGTCTCAGAGTGGCGCGAGTCGCCTCAGAAGTCATATTCAGAGAGAGTTATTGCAGCCTGGTTATCAGATGATAGGAACGATCTACGTCACCGGATGCAAGCATTTCGTGTTATTTAGTGCGGATTAAGTTTATTAGTGGTGAGAGTAAAGGATGGCTACGGATAGTGTCAAGTGCACACAGAGTCAACCGCACTTCCTTTTCCCTCCTCCGTCATGAACCGATAGCATTTACAAATCAAAACGATTGAAAATGAGGACAGGCGACATAGCAAATAAGTCATGGCGCCCCTGCCAAACACATTCCACACGGGTATTATGCAGCTAAGGCCTAACTGAACAAATGTGAGCGTCGTAAGCGCATGTCCAGATAAGAAAGAGACGAATTTTCTACAAACGAAGCTTTGGCGGTTGACATATATGGCGCTAGTTCGACGTCATAATGGGGCGATCAAGCCTTTTCTTGGCTTTGCAATTTGTGAACCAATTACGATGAAATAAATATTCGAAGTATGGATCACGTGCCATTGGAATTTTGCCCTACAGTATCTAAGGTTGGGAGCACGAAACAAAGTCGCTTCATCGAAACTGTCATTGGAGGGAGGGCGAAGTTTTTAATTCATACGTCTATCAAGTCATATTTTTGTAGATGTTGTTTCTTGGCATGCAATCAATATAAATGCTTCGACTTCTTTATAAAGCAACTATATAGGATAAAAAATTGAAGATCAAAGAGTTTAGGCTCTTAGAGGTACTGAGACGCTCTAGGTATTAGCTGGTTTTGCTGCAGTTCGACAAAGAGACGAAGTGAACGATGTGAACCATACTGATGTTGCTTTCGTAGCAGAAGGAGTCATCCTCTGTCCGTAGAACACCTGGTCTCCCCAATTTTATCCCACAACCTGACGCACATTTATCGAAATAAAGCCCAATCTCAGCCTCGAGTTGCTTGAAACAGCCATAATCTTAATTAATAGCACGTACCCTTTGTCGTGTATTAAGTGCCGTCTTATGCACCCTCAGAAAAGCGGCGGACTGTTTGTATTCTTCATTTTCTGCAGACGAGAGACGTAAAGAGTTTTGTGAACACAGTTTTTCCATATTTTTGCTTTGGCAAAACAATCGATCTGACCTCCAGACTGGCTGCAACTGGCTCTTTTGGCTATGCACCCCTCAGCATCTGTGTGTAAGGAGGTGTTTTTTCATGGCGTGCAATGTCACCACGAATAACAGCAGTTGACTCGCCTTCTGTCAGCATATTCCATTAAACTATTCCTCTGTAGTTCGAAATACCCACGATTTTGAACACTTGTTTAAATTATAAGTGAAGAGCGGCGTCTGCATATTTTATGGGTTGCCTTAGGGGGTCGAACCGGTGGTCAAGTTGTTCGTATTGTTCAATCCCAAGTACAAAAATGCATTGTTCATTTTCGTTGAATTCCTAACGTCCTAGCGGGTTACTTTGTTTTCTGCAGTTTTCATTGAGATTCCTGTCAGAGTTTCTGGTAAAGTATGACTTGTCTGGAGGGAATAGTAGTTAACAAATGTTATCGGCGCAAAGCCACCGATGACCGTTGATTGCGGAGAGTGGTAACGGTAATTACGAAGTTAGACTACTTACTTTGTGATGCAACCCGAAAGCATACTAGACGATACCCATATAAGTGAAAGTTATAGCTTCGTGAGTTTGCTTGTCACTCTTCGTTATTTCCATAAGGGCAGAAACTAATAATCAGTCTACTCGTACTTTCCAGGTTATCGTATTGATAAGGTTCGCATAATGATGGTTTTCCTTGGTATATGCAAATTTTAGAATGAAATGTGGCAATTCATTTTGCTTGGGAGTCCCGGTCTAGGGCCGTCACGGGGGCCACAACAGTGAGTGACCGGTAGGCGTTTGTGTCTTAAGCCATCAGATATGGGTTTTGAGCCTGCATCAAGAAGGCTGTCTTCAGTAGGAATATACTTTGCTTCCTTGAAATTATCCCAGCGGCCCTACTGCTGAAAAATTGATAAGCTTTTCGAATGACCTATATTCGTGAAGCCATTGGGTAATTGCTAAATAGTTGAGTTTGGCTTATCAAAACTGCAGATGAGGTACTGACTTCTAATGCCGGGGGTTGGAGGGTCTAACGAATAGCCAATTTCCAAAAGAGAGAGAGAGTGTGGACCTATTTAATACATAGAATAATCCCTTTACTATAGATTCGTTTCTACAAAACGGGTGAACACAGTATGGCTCTATCCAACTTTTGCATCACAAATAATTTGATTATTGACACTTACACACGGTCCTGCCTAGGCAAAGCTTACCTATATGGTCTTTCTTAACATTAGGGACTTTACAGGAAGATATGTTGGGCATGCTACATAGGACACGAGCTGCGTAAATTTTCCATAGATAAAAATGACAGCGAACAAAACAGACTTTACTCCGATGAATCTAATATGTGAACAGGGGTATAAGTTGGACGGATAAGACTGGAAACTAAAGAGAATTTTAACAGTAAACTTCACAATGAATGTAGCGTGCAGCGAGTTTAGCTAAAAATCACCTGGGCGCAAATGACATGCGTCAAGGCCTTATCGTTATACAAGTCGTAATCCACAGAATGACGAGCCAGCTTCTAATAGCAGACCAACTCTCGGTTCGAATAGTTCTTCCTATGATTAGACAACACAAAGCTCTTCAACAAAATAATTCCTAACTGGGGAATAGCTGCTAACCCATGAGAAGTGGGCCTGCTCCTCCCCTGTTTGAAAATAATGCCTTCCTCGATGCAGGACTGCAATTTTGTTCCAAATTATGCAGAAAGTGTATGTCTGCGTGGATCTATTTGTAAATAAATGTGCTTCCGGTTGAATTCAAACAGCATAAGAAAGCACTGTACCTATATAATTAACTGCAAGAAGTTACTCGTCTAGAGTACCATAGAATGCGGTGAGACCGAGAGAAGAGTTGGACCGACGATCAAGGGCAGAGAGCGAGATTCTATTTCCACGGAGAGAATAATCTATTATTTTTGTTTGGGTAAGCCTCATTCCCGTCAAAGCTTATTTATACTTCCTAGTGCCTGGCTCCAAGAAACGGCTAAAATCATTTCGCTTATTTTTTCGTTTTTTCATGTAACATGGAAGCTTTTGAATGTTGCGTTGGATTACAATTGCATCGATGGTGTCGCAGCGCTGATTAACAGGCGACATACACGAAGGCCGAGTCCTGCATGATAGCGTGCTGAATTTTAGGGGAGTGTCTTTTCTGAAACCTGGTAGGTCAACCTTGTGAAATTCTCTGCAAAATTGATGGAGCGAGTCGGTATTTCTCATTGAGCTGACTCCACATTTTCTACTGTTTAACGTAAATAGGAAATCAAAAGCAATCGTCTTGTCTAATTTTCGCAGAATAAAAGAGCTGTGGATGATCATAATGGTGACTATTAAGGAATTCGATGCCGGACGAAATATCTGTCAAAAATATTTAGAAAGCTAACAACCTCTAGGTAGACGTAAAACGGGACTTAAACTTTTCTGAAGGAAAAGTTTCCATGACTGTCCAAACCGAACGAAAGAACAGACTTCTGGCAATCAGTGAAGTATTGCATGGTGACTTACCTATATTTCTTTGTTTTTTCCAATATAATCCCTGATGCGACGGCTCCTAGCAAACCTGATATTACCATCGTAAACCCAATCCATCCAATAGCAACGTCCTCTCCCTGCATAAGGCAGAAAGCATAAAGTTTAGAATTATTTCAATTAAATCTATTTAAATGCAATTCAAAGACTTCATGAATCTTGCTTTTTTCATGCAGTAGCGCAATCATTAATTGTGGTTGTGCAGAGTTCAACAGCAATAAGTTAGTTGCTTATTGACTTATTTACTCACTACAATGGATTATGTTTATATTTCCTCATTTGATATTCCGGCCATCTGCAGTGAAGTTTTGAGATGTAATGAGGTTGCCCGCTGCTGGGCACAAAGGAACGCGCTAGTTGAGAACGCATTTGCGTTACCATGAAAATCGATAACGGATTTCGAAAGGAAAGAGAAAAAAAGGCAGCATATTGCACTCAGGTGTTGCTTAAATGATAAAATAACAAAAAATGTAGAATGCGATTTCTTTTATAAGGGTATTACAAACCATGTGCACGCATTATTTAATTTTTTTTAATGCAGATTTGGTGAAATAGACGTAGTTGTGTCGTTGCCGAATCTACACCACACCACTGCGAAAAATGATTGGGACTTTTTATAACTACGGATGGCAACGAGTTCCACCGGTGCAATATTCTGTATGGCGGGCCTTAATATATAGCCAAGGTCAGATCCATTTGATCTAAACTCCTGACCTTATGAACAAGAAGTAGAGCTTAAGACACTTTGATTTATCATTTATGAAATTCGATCACTTAATGTAAGTGCAGTGGTCCCTCCCTACATCGCGCGTTGACTTTTACGCGGATTCTAAACGCAAACAGATCTAGATATATATCGCGGATTTGTGCGGGGTATGGGACCTTTTATTTCCGGCACAAGTTTCCTCATTTTGCTCAATAGGGTTTGCAGAGCTTTTGCCTATTATCCTTACCAAATAAACTGAAATAATTCCGTATATAAGACGCCATATCTAATAGAATATAAAAGGTATGTGCTGAACGATTGCGTGGAAAGTGTTTGCAATAGTTCAAAATACGTAAAAATAACCACAAAAAGATATTATTTTTACTTATTTAGTCTTTACTTTTCACAGGAGAACATGAAACACATCCCCGATGATCAAGGAGGTATCGATGTATGCAGCGTCTGATGACGTTCTGCGGATAACATTTTCTTACCACTCGTTCACTGAGATGCCGAAGTTCTTGTACCCTTCTCTAGCTTCGCTACAGTGTGTGTTTACTCTTTCAAAGAGTGCTCTAAAACAAGCACGTTTGCGCATCATCGCGTTGTTGCTATGCTGGCTGAGGTCCTGAATTTTAGTAGTAGCCTTTCTATACACTATGAAGGTAAATTCACCACCGGGTCTGCGCGTGAGCAGCACGTCAAGAAAAGGTAATTTGTCGGCGTCCTCTCTATCTCTTGTTACCTCGCTGTCGGAGAAGATGATGTTAAGCGGGCCATGGAAGCCGACAAATATGTCGTTCACTTACCGGCTCCAAAGCGTAGGTTCATAGTGGCTGAAAGTGACCTATTCCAGCTCTTGTAGGATCGATTCAGAAACTGGGCTGGATATGGGGAAACTCATCAGCCACTCATCATCCGCCACTGAGGGCGAAAAACAAGACCAGCGGGATCTGTTGAAGGCGTGGGTGTCTGACACCAACTCCATCAACAGACACATTGTTTAACCCCTGAGTTATCACGCGTTACGCCTACGCAGCCAGGTGGCGCAGCCCAATTCCCTGCCAGAAGGCACACGCCGTCACCACGCCGTGAGACCACTGTGAACTAAGCGGTGCAAATCCGACACAGTCACGGACACTAGCCCTCTCGCCTGCCTCCCTCCCCAATTGTTAACTAGTTGGCATGAAAGCTCAGTCTCTGATGATAGTCTCTTGCATGGGTTTGAAAGCCCAGACTAATGAATCGATCGTTCCAATGATCGTCTCATTGTCTCTTTGGCAATGAAATACATATTAATAGCAGAACTTGGAACGAATTTTGACTGCTTTGAGCAAAATATATATCGAGAATTTTCTATCCAAAGCCGGAAAGTATAACTTGCCCTACAATAACCACAGCATGAGTAAAGCTATCCAAAATACTGTGAAATGACAAATATAACTTTTAGTAGTGTGTCTGAGGGTGGGTAATTCTTGTAAATAGGCATAGCCAACAGTGCGGAGAACCAAAATTTTCCCATGTGTAAGTGTCCAATGTTGGTGTTGATTTAAAGATTCAAAATCGGAGTCCATGCTATCAAGTGCATTCTGGGGTTTTCGAATAGTGTGGTTCCTAATCGTTTTTTTATGAGCTTGAAGATTAGCTCTATAACGTCTAACGAAAAAGTCAATAATGGCGTCAGACATTGAAGCCATCGATTTATAACTGAAGGACAAAGGGGCACACGTTGTTCTACGTTTTACATTAAATTCAGATATATGAAATATAAAGTTGCAACTTTCTCTGAAAAAATGACGCGTTGGCAATAGCAAAATAAGCTAAAGCTACTTTTTACACTTTAATCTTGAGTTTTGGAACCGTAAAAGACTTTCAAGTGAGCCAGACAGACCTTTCCATCTATCTCTTTTGGCATTGATGTTTAAAGAAATATAAAACATCTCTAAATGACTCTGGAGAACACTTCAGTGTCATTTACACATTGACATTCCGTTCTTCGCAAACTATCTGTTTGACAGGCAAAAGTGTGAGGGAAAAGGATCATGGATTCATATTTTATAGATGTCTTCACTCACTGGGAAGAAGTAAAGAAGGATTGGCGAAAGTAAAGTCCCGATTGCATAATAGACACCAGTGTTAACACCTGTTTGAAAGCGAAAGACCTACCTGATTAAATAATTTATGACAGATGATGGATTTTTTATTTTTCAAGGATCATAAATTTGGCAGGATGTCCATTGTTTTCTGTTGAAATCGAATTTTTTGTCAAAAACGAACATCTGGCTGCAACGTTTTCAATCAGGATAAACTAGGCTATTATTGTTAAACGTTCTTTGGATGGTTTTCTACAGCCGACGTTAGATTATTTTCTTTTCTATAGTAAAACCGTAGATATGCCATTAAAAGGATTTTTCTTCATTAGATTTAAAAGCACTTTATTCTAAACATCAATAAGAGCACAGTTTTTCAACAGATGTGTTCAGAAGTCATCTGTTCATACAAGAAAATGCCCGCCCTCTAAAATTAACCACAAATCTGATACACTAAAGACATGAATGGAGAGACTCAAAGGCAATAAATCTATTTTCTAAAATGAAGAAATGGCCGTAGTATCTTTTTATAAGTCGGAAGTTAAAATACTGCACAAAAGGCCGAAATAAAATGGCGGCGGCCCGTAGTGACCACTGCTCAACAACATCATGCATCTAAAACACCGGTCGCGCATTGGGTGGTCGGTATTTGGGGACCAAATTATAGACCAATCCTTTTGTTGGAAAGGATGTACTAGGTGAGAAAATATGGAATTCTGTTTCCGGCATAATTACCTAGGCGGACGTAGGGACTTGTAAGTTCCAGTTAGCTATCAGGAGATTAATCGGAGGCAATCTACCAAGCAGCTTGCCGCACGGAAAAGCGTCTTTTTCTTAGACTGAACTGCCCAACTTCGACACAAAGAGTTACAGAGAAGAAATACCATTGCGCTGCTGTTTCACCGTTTTAGCCTCCAGCAGGATAGCAGAGTAAATAATTATCCTAACGCCGATAATTCTGATTATCAGGCTACACTTTTATTTGAGGTTTTTGCAGCTTGTAGTTCTTCACCAGACACCTTGTGAAGAACAGTCGCTTTTAATCATTCAAATTAAAATAGGCTTTCTTGAAAATCAACAAAAGGAGACTAACTATCCGAATTTCCCTGCATGCGTGCAATCTGTCAATGCCTTAATAGGCAGCCGATGACCACTGCCGACTGTATTGAAAAGTGCACTCTAAAGAATGGGCAGAAATATTTATCAGTTAGACAATGAGCACTCCCATATGCCGTAGTACTGTAGAAACATGAAATCAACACTCTTCTCAAAACTACTTGCATCCCTCAATTAATATTATGCATGACCAACTTTCCGCTGAAGAAGCGAAGAATATGATAATCACTCATCTTATCATACTAGACGGGCACCTTTAAATAGTGTTTTCTGCAAATAATGGTGTAACTGAGTTGGTGATATTTTCTTGCAGTCAATCCGAAAAGCATTACAAATAGGAGCTGATATCTTGAGTCGGACAGGGTAAAATTGCTTAAATTACCTAGAAAAGCCATATCTGTGTACTTCTAATTTAATACAGAAAAAGGTTCCGAACAAGTGCAATACCTCCATAACAGGCTATAGCTTACCGTAAGAGGCGACCAGAAGAATGAAGCTTGCATTAGACGCGAGTTCTTTTACAGAGGTCAGATAACTAGAGCCTCCCTCTGTGTCTTTTTTGCCTTCTGGATATCCGAGACTGTAAGCTTTATCAAAAAAGAAAGATACTTAAAGAACCACTTTGTCTATTCGTTGTGTTCTAGATTTGAGCCTACTTAATCTGCTTGGGTCATGTTTCAAGCCAAAATAATGCTTTAAATCAGACTCTAAAAAGCACTCCATGTGTTAAAGTACGCACAGTGCTGCGTTGTTTCCCTTAATTTAGAAGACACCATTCCTAATGTCTTCATTTGCTTAGCTAGTACTGATAAAGTTATTATCGACCAGCATAATAATATTTTCCTTCATGTTTCCTGAGACGGACACTCTTCGTTACAACTCATGTCCCAGCTGATAGACCATTGGAGATAAGGCTAATACAGCAAGCATGAAAACTTATTTTGATTTTGATCTACGTAACACATTCGGAATATTCTAAATGGCATATGATACTCAAAGTAAACATAAACTTGCATCCGTTGGAAAGTTGTAAAACATGATACAAGCTGATACTAACTGCTCGTACGTCGTCCTTATACTTGCACTGTTTATTTTACGACTCATTCTTCAAACATAGCCTATTAAAAGTATAAACATAAAACGCTTCTAAGCTAACTTGATATTAACCCGCTAAATAATTAAGATGATTTGGAATTTTTGGTTCAAAGGGAAATACGTGCATCAAAAATATAGCCACGAGGATTTGCAAAGCGGGACAGTCTAGTCGGCTTTTTTAAGACTTAACTTACTAACGTTCACGATGGGCAGTGTTACTTCTATACAGTCTTCCTCACGGTTTCAATATGGTGTCAAACCCATTAACTACCACGGACTAATCTTCTCTTATAGTATCGGATATAGGAGTTAGGTTGACAGTTCCTTAGGAGTTTACCTAAGTGAAAAAACATTACTATATTTAAGGGTGACTTTGAGCGTTCGACGGTTAGATTGCAGTTGGTAGCCAGGAATGGGAAGCGGATGGCGACATAACCCCAATCCTAACCTTTACCGTAACCTTAACATTTAACGTTAACCGTTAACTCTAACGGCAACCCTTACCCTAACCGAAATTGTGAACGTAACTGTAGCCCTTAGGCATAGGCGTAGCTGAAAAACCTAACCGTAATACTGAAACCTAATCTTACGCTCAAACCCTAACCGTAACCCGAAAACCTAAGCCTAAATGCATAATCCTAACCCGAAAAGCGGAAACTATTAACCGGTACCCTAATCCTAACCTCAACCGTAAAACGGAAGCCAAATGGGTCAGATGTGATTGTGGATCCCCGCAAAATAGCCACAGTAAACAAACCTCCCAGTCACCTATAATGCGGGGCCTGGCTACCAACATCGATCTAGCCCGTTCGACTTGTCATTTTAATATCCTTGCCTTCTTCCAATTTACATAATTTGTTAACTAGAAGAAATAGCTTAATTTAAAATGTCTATGTGAACATATCCATAAATTCGTTAGCTTAAACAAGGTGAAGTCTTTTATAGAAGTCGCCCTGAAACTGTGAGTGTAAATAATAAGCAGGTAGTGTGAATAATTCCCTGCCGCTTGTCATTCGCAAAATGTTGTAAACCTGTCCTTGAACCTGGGCTCCATTCGTTCCACTGAGCAAGAGCAAAGAGCTCTAGGGATGGTTTCAGTAACCACGTGACCAAAATGTTTCGCTTTTCAATCCAACGACATACTTCTAATCAGCGGTTATGGAGAACTGTGTCATGTGTGTTAAAGTACTCCAGGCGTGAGGTTTGCTTTATCTTCTATAGATCATGAATAAAGCAACAGTTGGTAGATCATCGTAATCAAAGTGCCTCTACTTTCTGCGCGCCCACAATCAATATTTTCTAAAGATGTAAAATAGTCTAGTTGCCCATCTTTTTTAGAGATTGCGTTTCTCTATGTGTACGGATTTAGCTTCGCAGTTCCAAAAGAACAGCAGTCCACAATTAGATTGGTTGGGAGTAAAGAATCGCAAAGAATGAAATATGAAATAATTCGTAAAACCGGCAGGATTTGCTATGACAGCTCAACGACAGAGGACCTGGCAGATATAACGTGGGTTTGGTAGTGCGGCATAAGGTCGTTGATCAGATGAATTCCTCCTTCCTTAGCATATGATTTGCCTACAGTTCTTTTTGTTCAGTGCCTACATTTTGGACATAATTCTACCTTTCTAATGCTTTCTTTCATTTAACTGTTGAAGACTAACTTCCATATATTCACAATAACAAAACTGAGGGAAATAGCCTATTATACTCACCATCTTCGTCGGGGTAATACGCCGCAACAGCAGCATCCTCTTCAGTGATGACTGATGATATGGATATTGTTTTTTGAAGTTTGGCATGTTGCGCTATTGTTGGAGGAATTTCCGGTGACGTTTTGAAAACTGAAATATCGGAAGACGCAATAAACCAAATGCACGCATGAAATCCTTCACTTCTCCAAATAACCGGTAGGTGTTTAAATTAGTCTAAAGACCTCTACCGAATGAACAATGCAAAATAGGATTAAGTAAGTCCCTTTACAAAGGTCACGGCAAAAACAGGGTGTCGGTTTATAGTATCCAAGAATATTTGTAGATATGCGTCCTCACGAAGGCAAAATAAAGTACAACCGTGACAATATTTTCGAAATAGCGGTCAGGCCTAAGAGCGGTTGACAAGTTTGAGTAGGAAATGTCGGTAAATACAACTTTGTGCGGACATGTTGATTAATTTAGATGCAATTTTGGCCAGTTCCTGGTTCGTCTACCAAAAGTAGTGTTTGTACTCCGCCTGGTTTGTTATTTTTTGCACGGTTCTAAAGTACGCTTCAAAATACGAGATAATAGTTACCCATACATTTGGCCGATCTTGATCTTTATTAACTGCTGTCACCGAAGTAGTGATCTAGATTTCAATCCTGACAACTATATATAGGCTGTTTCTAACTTTTCCTGCATCTGTTAACACACGATTAGGTAATAAAACAGTTTTTTTAGAAAATCCCAGCTTTTTAAATGATTTTACTTGACTTACATAAGAACTGTTGTGGGAACTACATTATCTTGTCCTTCTAAATGATCTGAGTACGTCAGTGTATCGGAGCTCAGAAGTATTTTGTATGTGTGAAACCCAAAAATACTTTTAAATATCTATTTGGACCAGTAGAATAAACCGCAATAACACTCACAAAAAATGGCGACTTATCCGAGAAGGCAGAATGTTCTAAAGGGCAGTTTGCGAAGCTGCATGACAGAAATTTTCAAATGGACGTTACGGGGATGTACCCGTCATGCCCCAAAAATTTACAACACGCATCCAATAGTCCAACTTAAAAAAGACTACTTTTAAAGACACTCTACAGAAAAATGTTATTTAAAAAGGATCAGCTTTTGCCAGGTCGAAAAAATCAAATTTATCCAAAATTTTGTCGGCGCTATGGCAGAAGCGCTTGAAAAACCCATAGTCGGGAAGTACCACGTAAAACCCTAGAAACGTTTGTATTCTTTCACGCTTTCTGGGTTTACATAATCGCGTAGGACATTTTGTTCTTCTAAAATGCCTTCATTTCTTCTGTTCAGTTGCTCGTGATAATCTGCCCATAGAGACAATACCTCTTACGCTGGTTACCACTCAGCAGCATCTGAAGCGCCATGGAGGTTTTCTCAGTTAATGATGATGATGGCGAATGAAACCGTAGTTAACTTGAGAATTATCATCATTATTATGTGAGACAGTACGAAAATATTGGTGATAAAGTCCAAAAACATTTTCGATGATGGCTGTTGTGCTGGCTTTTGTTCTGATAACAGTGATGGGGATGGTAGCAGATATGGTTCTGATGTGTATTGCTATAGCAACGATAGTAATGAGGATGATGATTTAGTTTTCACTGGTGTTGAGGTACCTAACTTAATACAATATGATATTTTGATCCTGAAAAAGTTCAAAACCTACGTTTTGATTTAAACTTGATATGTGCCACTTCGAAAACTAAAAGAAAACTGAAAAAACAGTTTTGCCTCCTTAAATGACTCTAAAAATGAACATGCAGCAAAACGCCTCAAAAATTAAAAACTAATGCTTACAAAGAAGGATGAATGCCGTATTTACAGTAGTGATTCCGGCAACTGTGTAGAAAAGTATACGAAATCCTGTGCGCAGCTGTAGAAACGCCGCATCAGCTCTTGGCACAATGAGAGGTGGAATACCGAATCCTAAAGCAACTCCTACCTATTATAGCACAAAAAGTGACTGGTCGATTAGTCCACGAAATAACGTGAATTGTCTAAATAACTTAAAGCTTTTGAAAATATGTCAGTTGGAACAAATTATCAGTATGCATTTCTATTATTACAGGCACTAGAAGTGTAAAAATAACCTGATTACCAAGTATCTGTACTTTGACGAACGTGAACTGCTGATATGCTTATTTTCGCTAACCACTTTAACTGCCAAACTATCGGGCTGTCATGTGCGTCCTGTCTAAATAATTGATATTTACTTTCAGTCCCAGCAAGCTAGCCGTCAGGATGAGAAGAGACGCTCCTTTTTTATTCATAAAATTGAACATCGTTTGTCTTTATAGTTATGAGACGTGACTCTGGCAGAACACCCGGCGTGAGTATGAGTGTTGGCAGTTGGATAGAGATATGAAATAAAAGGTTTCTGACCATGTGGGTTCATATTTTTATGATTTGTCATTAAAGCCGTCTACGGTTTTAGGCCATGTGGCCGAAATAACAGTCGATGGCATTCAAAGCAATCAAGTAAGCATTTTCAGTTTTACCTACCTGGTTACCAAAAACACCAATAGCTGTAGCGATCGATAGCTCCTTTTCGCCGAACCAGACCGCAGCTAGGTGTGCCGGGACATTAAGAATGAAGACCTGGGCAATTGCACAAACTGTCTGACTGAACATTAAGATACCGAAAGATGACGCAGCTGCTAGTCCTGGTGTGCCGATTGGTTGGGAAAGCTCAAGTGAAATGCATTTACACCATGCCCCAAAAGAGTTAAGCATTGCTCCCAGTAGCAGAGTTACTCGAAGACCAAAACGTTCCAATATGTATGTGGCTAGCGGAATAAGTGGTATGTATGCCAGCATGTAGATCATTGATAACCATGCAATTGATAGCGTTTTCTGATACTCAGCGCCTATTAATTAAAAAGTCATATTTTAGTCAATATGTATTACTGAATCAGGAAATTTTGGAACGACAGATATAAGGAGTGAAATTCTGAAACCTTGACTAACCATGACGCATAACTGGTACAATCTGTGATAATTGGATCGATTGGGCTTTATTTTGCTATATTTATGCAGATGGTCTGGAAAAGTGTATGCTGCAAAGGACACAATATAACAAGAGCACCATGAGGGTAAGAATGACAGCTTTCAGTGTACCACACTTGTGTTTAGCGTTAACACTTCACATAAAGCTGTCGAACGTATGGTTTCTTCGTTACAAACCTGATCATGTCGTAGATCTAAAACTAGGCAACTAGATAGTCCACACACGTCATTTCTGTGATCGCTTACTTTAAAGAAAGCAATCACCGGAATGAAGCTAGATCAGTGAAAATTGTTGCTTAACTAACGGTATACAAATATTTTCTGGCTCGTTGGACCAGAAGCACTAAAATACTTATCCCAATCACTTAATTATAATTAAGAAGGGGTTGGCCCCCTCATAGCCACTTCTTGGCCCCCATTTAAGAGTTGGCCAGGTGCTGGCAGGGTAAGATTATCTCAACGCCAGGCAATATATAATACAGTAGCGGTGTTAAACTAATAAGATGCGGAATTGTCTGAATATCATCATATCATATCTGTCAATAATTGCTTTCACAGAAGCCAGCAGAATATTCTGTAAGTTTCCTGTGATAGCCATCATCGCCTTTATTTAATAGAAATCACAAAGGTGGACAAAACTAGAGGGTTTTTCAGCGTTCTTAGAGAATATGTCTTTACCTGGCAGTGATCCTTTCCAATAACTCAACACACTGGATTCGACTATATTTAGATGGATCCATTGAAATGCATTGAGCATTGAAACCGAGCAGAATAAACACAGAATAAACCATCTCTTTCTGAAAAGGACTGGTAGAAATTCTCCGGACTTTTCTTCCAACATTTTCAACGGCAATAAGCAGTCTGATTTATCGCGAGTTATTATACATCCCGCAACAATGAACTGACCTAGACCAACTTCAGGGTTTTGAAATTTTATAATTCTAAACAATTCTTTAATTTTTGCAGAAGTCAGAAAACTCCTGGCTAGATCAGGATCTTCTAAAAAAGAGACTTTCGCTGTGTGTGCCCCAAAAATAACACCATAACGTTTATGATTAACGGTCCACACGCAAGTAATTTACTAGGCACAAACTAGTTCTACCAGGAAAGAAAAGGCTATTTTCTGCCCATCGCGGTCCTAGTTAAGCAAATACATGAATCCATCAGTCAAACTGACGCCCTCTTCTGACAGAATCAATCGTTTAAGTTATAAAGCTTTTAAAAGGGAAATTTTTAGGACGACGGCGGTCCACGCAAGGTCTGGATGTGTTATGCTCTACTCCACCGGAAATAAGCAGGTCGGTGACTTTTATGTCCACACAGCAGCGCAATCTTCTCTTTATCTCCAGTCTGTTTATAACGTGCACTACCAGAGAGAGTCAATTTCCTCGATTTTAGGGCTAAGTGAGTAGATATTATGTAGAATACAGGCAATGAGTGGACTCAAAACCACAGTATGCATTGCTCTGTCCCATTTCAAATGAAAGTGGAAAAGTGCCAGTGCGGAGTTTATAATCTATGTTGAATCAGGCTGGTGGTCAAAGCTTGTCAACCCTCGATTAGCTTTGTGGTCGCCTAGACGTCTGCCTCCTGGAGTGGTGACTTGATCCAATCATTTTTACAATATCTTAAAATCCCGCTAGTCATTTCGTAAACGGTCCTTCTTTGCATCTTCGCAAATAAAGTGTAGTCTGTCTTCGTCCAGGAGCGCCACGCCTGAATGCCATATTCTAAAATCTACCGAAAGCTCTTCGCGAAATGTAAAGAAGGATCACCTGATAACACCCAGCATAATCAGGGCCTTCCTTTAGATCTTTGCGCAATAAGACAAGAGTTTGAAAGTGGACGTCGTCCGTACGCCTTGGTCCTTTACCTCGTTTACAAGCTCGAGATCGTGACCTCCGAGGAAATAGTGATATTCAGATCTCGAATCTTTTCTGCAACTTGGCCTTAGTTGAAATAATTGACTCGTGTTAAAATTGAGGTTGAGAAGCCATACTTCACATCACTGTTTCAGTCGATTTAAATGTTGGGCAAGTTTAGCACCTCCTCTAGTTTTTTATTTGAACCCCAAACTTTCAGATCATCAGCGAACATTATATTCTCGCAGGTCAGACAATCTAGTCAAACTTTCAGACATGCCAAGAATAAAATGGCACACAGGACGCTCGCCTACGGAATCCCGCTTTTAATGGTTTACTGCTCCGATTTGACGTCACCAATGCACACATGCTGACGTCGGCCTGTCGGAATGTCTGCTTACCCCTCCAATACGTTACCCGTCACGCCCATTTGGCACAGTTTAGATAGGAGTCGTCTGTGCGGCACCCTATCAAAGCTTTGCCTGTGGTCAATGTAGACTGCATATTATGACAATCCGTCTTATATATTTCAGCCAGCTTTATATTGGTGTGAGCAGGGTAGAGAGACAGGATCAACCGCCTCTAAATCCATGTTGATGCTCACTTAGCAAGTCGCTCTCCTCAGTATGTCTCATCAGTTTCTTTTTTTTATTATTTTCTCCAATAATTTGCAACAAATGCTTGTGGCGCACTGATCCGATCTGGAGAGCGGGGAGGCCAGTAAGTCTACGAGTTCATCAGGAACTTCCGTGGGTATACCATTAGGACCAGGTTATTTAGTAAGTTGTAGTTGTCCCAGAGTTTTTCGTACGGCGTCCGTTGTAAACGTCACCGTGTTTATTTTATTTCGAAGCGGGGCAATTCGCTGGTGTACTTTTTCATCAAAAGGTAGACATGAAATGACCCCTGATAGGAGACTCGTCTTCTCGAAGGTATTAGTCAACTTATTTCCCTGATATTTCTTTAGAGGAGCAACGGAATCCAGATTTCATTTAGCCTTATCACACATGCAAAGAACTTTTTCGGATATTTCGGCATTTCCTTGACTATTTTTTTTACTCATACGCTGCTCCATCTCTACTCAGCAGACACCGACACCTATTCGCTGTTTCCCAAATTCTGTGAGGAATTCAGACTGGGACATGTAAAATAATTTTAGTAAGGAACCATCGAGGTCACATCAAAGCAAGCAAAAATAAATTTTCATATGGATTTTAAACGAGGCGGGCGGAATCTGAACAATATGCAAATCACAGTTTTTGAATTAGTAGTCTGCTATGATAAATAATGAGCGAGCGGTGCGAAAACTCCACTTAAGAATTTCAAAAATAATTGGATAAAATTTGCAGGAAAGAAACTGTCGCTCATGAACGGAAAAAAGCGGGCAGGACCGGTCTGCATGTGGCAATGCATGACAATTTATATACGAACATCGTCAGAGAAGAAGTGATTGTCATCCTTGACAAGTACGTATGGAGGTCAGACAGGACTGGCCTGCGTGTGGTATTGTATAACGGATTATAAACGGACATCGTCAGGGCAGAATTCATACGCCGGATGAGACTATTTGCGTCAACATGGAGAGACGAGAAGAAGCCAGACACGATCGGTCACAGTCCGCTTCGAGCCTAGCCGAGGAGGGGGCAAGGGAGATACGATCAAACTACTAGTAGACGGCGAATTTAGAAGGTTCCGCCGTGAGCGTTTACAGACCCCTTTAGGTAGAACTAAGGAGGTGACAGCAAAAAGCGCGAAAATCATCGCTTTAGGGGAGGAGTAATGTCAGTGGCGTATCCCTTTTACAGTCCCCGTTCTCTGGTCACTTTTCATTTCTAATATCGCCCACTCTGGTCCGGAGACGCACAATTCCTTTTAAACGAACGGCATTTTTCCGATTAGTGTCGGATCATGTTCTCAAATAAGGTCCAGGTGCGTGCACTGGATTCTATTCCATCTGAGCCAGCTGTTTTTTCATTTTGGAACAATTCTCTTTCCATGCATTCATCTCCTCTACTGTTCCAATGGCGGGTTCAGAAATGGGACTGTACCCCCAAACAAAAATAAAGTGATCACTTTGGTCCGAGGGCGTGCTAGTAGTCGAAATAAAGACGCAGTTTTCATCTCTGTTTTTGATGAGACCCAAAGAGCTTGAATGCCGTCTACTTTGGAAGCGAGTGTCCATGGTGACATGTTGAATGAGGAATTCGTCGGCGACCATTTAAAGTAACTTATTTTCGTATGAGTTGGTAATAATAATAATAATCACTGTCTTGAAGGCCAGTTTGCAGGCATTGCCAGGTAAAGATATAGCACGAATCCGACCAACAGTTAAAAAAACTCCTGATAATTAAATAAAAAGGATGGTTTTTGTATAGTTTGGAAGGTTCAGGAGAAGAAAATCGCTGCCTTTGAAATGACTACAGTCGAGAAAGGGAGGGGTAGCACTGCATCGGATATTTTCAGTCGTCATTTCTTTTCATGAATTCGGGATTGGAATAAACGGAAGCCATGAGGAAGAGCTGTCGCTGTTGGCTAAATAAATTTTCCCTGGTGAGACCGGCCATGGGGATGAGAGACCACGAACGCCAAGCACTACGGTATATGCGATTGGTGGATTCAGTTCCCAGAAGTTGCGGAAGTTTTTCTTTATTCAAAAAGCGGGCAATAGTTCGTTTAGACAAATAAACAATTTTGCAAATTGTTCAAAGTCCTGGGTATTTTATCTCAAATAGTAACTGTGTTCAAATTAAAAGAAACGGCGATATTTAGCTGTAAGTTCCAGAGGAAGAAATAAAAAGACCTCACCGTGACTATTAGGTCAGGGATGGACGAAACGTTTTAAAGTAAGTGCGCAGGTAGACCGTATGATTATATAAAAACTGAAACAGTAAAATTTCCTTTCGCAATCTACGAAACCACAAGGGATCAAGGTCTGTAAACCGGCAACGTTCATGGTAAGACAAATGTCGCTGTTCCGGGGTTAAAACTCTCTTGGTAAAAAGTGTTGAACGGATTTTATTTTCTTCCGCTCAGTAGCACGCATGAGGCTAAATAAAAACGAACCGTATTCCAGACCAGGTCTAACGTTCATGTTGTAAAGACGCATTCTAATATTCGTATTTTTGAAGTTTCGGAGGATAAACCCGGCCGTTCTACGTGCTTTGGAGACTATCAAGGCACAGTGCTACGAGAGATTGAGACTTTTGGAGTATTATACGTCCAGATCCTTGATGACCCCAGGTACATTTATGGCATGACCTTTAATACTTAGTTGAGTTTGGCGGTCGTCGCCAACTACCATGACTGAGCACTCATGCCAGGAAAGAGAAAGGCGCCATGTGCGGCACCATTGGGGGGAAGCCTGTAGATCGCTGGTAAGGAACTTAAGCAGGATGTCACGATATGCCGGCTTATTTTGATATGCAACTTTCAGCTCATCGGCATACATGAAGGGCTTATCATTCTGAAATAAATCTTGTACATCGTCAAGAAAAAGGTAAAACAATAGCGGGCCGAGTACACTACCCTGAATGACTCCACTCCTTACACATGTGAGGTTGGATATAGCATTGGAAATCATAACTCGTTGCGTACGCGCGCCCACTTAAAGGGATATAAAATGCGAAAGTTTACAACCTATTCCGAAAGAGCAAAGTCTTAAGAGAACAAAAAGCATGGTCGATACGATCAAAGGCCTTAGTGAAATCGAAATATATTGTGCAAAGTGCAAAACCGTTGTCCCTAGATTGGGGAATATGAACAACGAAAGAGAGCTGGCAGGACTCACAAGACTGAGCTTTGAGAAATACATGATTTTCAGTGCTTATTAGGTTGTTCTTTATTAAGTGACACGTCATCATATCTTTGCTCAGTATCCTAATTTTATCAAAACTGC